CGCCCGATGTCAAATGGCCCAACTTTTAATGGAGCCAAGGAGTTTCCTTTTCCTTGCCGGGGTTTTCCTCAAATGTTCTCTCACTTCGCCAGGGCAATTTGTGCAATTGCGAAGGCCCTGCCTCTTCCCTAAAAAAAAAATATATATAAAAACCCCAAAAAACCAACTTCCTTTCGGAGGCCATCATCAAAAATTTTGTTGGCCAGCTCAGTGCAAACAGTCAACGTTGCGTGTCGCCCTTTTGCATATTTGCCTTAATTTCATTATTCTCATATTCATTTCGTTTTATTTCTTTCCGGCTTTTGATGGACCCCGATTTGGCAGAACGATGAAAAATGCTGATAGGCCAAGTTAATATGAATGAATGATGATAAATGCACAATGTTTTTGTTCATAATTAATTTTTACTGTTTCGTTTTCATTCTTTTGTTTGGGCCTAAAGTGCCCATTAACAGCATGAGCGTCACGTTTTTCCAATGTAATTTCACTAGTCCATAGCACGTCGGCCAGAACAAAATCAACAAGAATCAACAGGTGTGCAGATTTCATCGGTAAATTCCGACAAAGACATATTATTTTAATCGTCAAAATACCAGAGAAATTACTTTCAAAAATATTACGACCATTTTCATTGTTAAAGCACCTTAATTTGGATTTTAATTTTACAAACTTAGATCGACATATCATTGAAAAATATAAAGTTACCCTAAAATCGTAATAGAGGTCAAGTAAAACATTATCATATACTTTATACATTTTTAAAATTTATATACCACGTAAATAAAATGAAATTGTGGAGGGTGCTACAAAGGGTTTTTAAATTACTATTGAATACCATTTTAGGTGTCGAAAAGTATGCAATGATTAAATAATGGTCGCGTTTCTGAATGATTTCATTGCACTTCTAAGCTTAAAATATATTGTTGCATACTTTTAAGTACCTAAAATGACATTTAAAAGTGATTTCAAAATTAAGTGTTTTGTGTTGCGCCCCCTATATAAAAGAATTTTATACAAACAAGATCTTTTGAATGATGTGCCGAAATCACTTCCCATTATTTATTTTATTTAAATTTTAATGAACTTGTCATGTGATTGAAACACCCTGGATAAGAAAAGTTCTAGACTTCTTTTTAGTAGGTTTCCAATGCACCTCGATACATAATTTATATTTTCCTATTCAATCTGCTATGCGGAAGTTCCAAATGCAGCCCCTCTTTTCCACCGAAAACGATTCCCGAGGTGAATTCACACCTCAATAACCCGCCAACGGCTGTCATAGTTTTTCCTTGAGAACTTCCAAATGCAAAAGACCAGGTGAGTGTGACAGAGTTATTGAGTTGTATGCGAACAAGTCTACCTGGACGTTCAAGCAGGCAATCTGAGCGTGACGAATAATGATTTTACACCGCTGCCAAGAACTGCGAGTGTTGCGATGGTATGGGATATGTTTGCCCTATGATGGTGGTTCGTCTGGGCGGGAATGGGTGAACTTTGGAGAGGATTTTTCTTTGAGACACAGTCGCGAGGGTAAAAATACTGGCGAAAAGTGTGCAAATTGTGTGAGAGTTTGTGTGCTGAACGGATGAATTTGAAATTTGCATTTAGTTGGCTTATTGAGTTTGAGCATCTGAAGATATACATATCTTTCGCGTTCGCAGCACTCTTTAAGCAACTCCAACGACTAATTTCATTTGGCTGCAGTTTGCCCGAAAGCAAAGAGGCGTCATTGAAAAATAAAAAGGGGGTGGTGGGTAAAAATTACACGGGCGTTGAGGAGAAGAGGGCGTACACAGAAAAATCAGTTGCATTCTATTGTTCATCAGCAAAATGGTTTCAGTCACGTTATCGAAATTATTTGATCATGTCATGAAATGTATCTAATCGGGGTTTTTAAACTAAATTGGGATTTTAATAATTTTAAAAAAAATTGTGTTTGACTGCCTGATAAAAATAATTTAAGATGTAGTAATTCTTTTCAAATAACGTAGGTTTTCTTTATATTTTTTACAAAAAAAACTGGGACCAAGTATAGCTCTTTGTACTCTTTGCACAGTCAAAAAAAAATTAACCGAACCGGAAAGCAAATTAAACTGAAGAAAAACAACACAAAAATCTAAGAAGCCTTTAAAAAAATTTGTATTATCGAACCCTCTTCCTAGATTATCAAAAAAACAAAAGATGTGTAACAAATATTTTTAATTTTCAAGTTGCTCAATTTGGATATCCAAAAAACCAAGAATTGGAATGACTTATCTTACTTAAAACATATAATAAAGATATCTAAAAATGGAACATAAAGTTCAAAGGAAAATCTTTGTCAAGCACATCATATCTCACACAAGCAGTTCATATCTCCCTTTTAAACCGAACAACTGTCTTATTGATGGCTAATTTCCGTGGTATTTTCTCTGTGTGTATATATGTAATATGGGCACTTGGGCAGCAGCACTTTTGGGCCACTTGTTTCTCGAAATTGAAAACCATGAGGCGCATTTAAAAAGATGAAGTGACAACTGGCATACTGATGACGACACACAGGCGAAGGCGAAGGGGTCGGGGGTGAAAGGGAACCTGGGTCCAAGGAGGAGGAGGAGGAGGAGGGGGTGGGGCAGTGGCTGTAAGAGTGTGTGGAGCGTATAAATATAACAAGTGCCAAGTAAAATATGTACATAAATAAGCCAGCGCAGAGAAATGTGCGGCTGATGCAGATACAGTGGACACTCGCCTTGAGCAATGGTTTAGAAACAGTTTTTAATATTTCAGGGAGTTTCTAGTAGTGCATCGAAATAAAATCCATGCGATGTAATGATTTTTTTAATGATATAATACTACTTTGCAAGAAATGGGGCGAATCCATGTATTGAAATAACTAAACCAATATTTTATATTATCAAAATTTTATGATAGTAGTATTTATTTCTTTGATAACTTTGCTGATGCAGATACAGTGGACGCTCGCCTTGAGCGATGTTTTAGAAACTGTTTTTAATATTTCAAGGAGTTCCTAGTAGTGCATCGAAATAAAATCCAAGCGATATAATGATTTTAATAGTATAATACTAATGTGGGGCGTATCTAAGTATTGAAATAATTAAATCAAAATTTTATATTATCAACTTATTTTTTTGATAACTTTGCTGATGCAGATACAGTGAACACTCGCCTTGAAGGATGTTTTAGAAAAAGTATTTAATATTTTGTGGAGTTCCCATAAAAGCAATGTAAGTGTAATGTATTTTTATGATGTAATATATAATGATCAAAAATATATGATACTATTATCTTTTTTATAACTTTGCCGATGCTGAATGATGTTTTAGATACAGTTTTTAATATTATGCGGAGTTCCCATAAGTGCACCGAAATAAAATCTATAATGATATAATGTTTTTTAATGAATCCCATATTATTTTGATCTAAATTTGGTGCTAATCTATGTATTGAAATTATTTAAACAATACTTATAAAAATTTCTAAATTATAGAATGCATTTTTTAAAGGTCTGTTATTTGGCAGGTTTCACTGTACCTCTTTTGTCTATTATCGCCGTTTCTGTGTCTGTTTCTACCGCTGCATTTTTGCATTTCTGCACTTCCAGCAGCTGCGACTAATTGTTGAAAGAAAAAATGTATTAAATAAAAAAAGGAGCAAAAGGGGATAAAGTGAGCGGGGAGGGAGTCAGAAGTGTGGGGACAAAGGCAGGCAGGATGCGAAGGACTTGTTCGCGCTGATTGCGAAAAGTGCAACAAACTTTGACAAAATAAAATGAAAATCCCGCCCCAAGGTAGAAAGGGGGCGTGGCACAGGGGCGGCGAACAAATGAAGCGCCCTTTTTGCAACTTCAAATCGCAAACCCACACACACACATACACACAGACAGCCGCAGCTGGAGATTCTTACACACATGTGCAAAAAACGCGAGTTGAAAAAAAAGTGCATTGAAATTGAAGCACTCTCATTAGGAAGAAGAAGAAGTTGCAGCAGGAACGAGAATAAGAAAAAAAGAAGTTGAAACCGCAGCAAAATAATGCCAAGTTTTCGATAGCGTAGGCAAAAAAAAAATGGAAAAGAGTTTTACTGGTCAAAGGAAATGCAACAAATTAAGTAAATTCGATTTGGTAAAAAACTGCATCACTACAGTAAGAAATACTTGGAGTACTAAACCAAACAAATTTAAAACAATCAAATTTAAACATTAAGTTATTAAAAAATATATATATCAAAAATAATGTTTGTGTAGTGCAATCAAATTTATTTTCGGTTGATAAGGAACTAAAAAGACTATATATTTTGGTTATTTTTGTTTTATCAATAGCGGAAATAACTTATAATTAACAAAAAAATATGCTCCTTTTACAATCATTTTATACTTATGTACAGAAGCTAAGGAAATTCATCGTTCTTTTTAAAAGGCAAATACTGTTCTTGTAATAATAGAAGGCCACGTATGTCCATATGTTTATATATTGAATGTACTTTTAATGAGTACTAAAAAAATCCGAAAATAATCAATCAAAAAATCTCCTTTCTACAATTTTATATAAGGTTTTCAATGGTTTTGAGCTATGATTTTTTTTTAAATTAGTAAAAAGATTGCTGTCAAGGATTCTTTATAATGAAATATATTTTCTTTAATATTCTGGAATATTTTAATATTTGTATAGCCACGTAGGTGATTAACAAATATTTACAATCTCTCTATAAATCAAAATAAAATAAAACAAGATGATACCTCATCAAAAATGATTAAGATAATCACAGTTCTTAAGAGTTAGGAGGTGTGTTTACTGTCATATCAAAAATCTTTTAACAATTGGCTTCCTCAAAACAGAGAATTAGTAACTTGTACTTTCCAATAGGTACAAGTACAATAATGATTTCGACACGGCCACGTAGGTGACGAAAAAATAAATCTCAAGATGGGACAATGTAAAACACATATGAAAAGAAGGGATTCTAAAGGTCCCCCAAATATTATTAGTTAAGCGGTACATTACTTGATTTGTTGTTGCGGCGGCGGAATCTTCATTAATCATTGCTATCAGTGTGAGCCACCAACAACAACAACAACAACAACGACCGCTCTGTCTCTTTCGCCCCACTCCTGTTGTTGTTGCTGTCTCGTTTTAACAAGGAGTCGTTATGTTGTTGTTGCTGCTGCTATTATTATTGTTGTTTGCACTTGTTGTATTTTCGTCACACAAACAAACAAACAAACAAGCAAACACACGCACACAATGTTGCACGTTGCGTGTGTTCTGCTTCTTCTTCTTCTTCCCGCGCCGCTCTTCCTCTTCCGCGCTCTTGGCCAGAAGAATCGTAAACAAATGCAGCGCACACACTTCGTCACTCGACGCTTTCGTCACGTCACTCTCTTTTCAGTTTTGTTTGCAAAAAAATAGTCCGAATTGCACTTTTCGCGACAACGTCCGATTTTGGTGCTGTTTGCGAGCAGAGTATTACCAGGCGGGGAACTTCCCAAAATGCTCGGCGCCAAATGCACTAAAAAATCGCGATTTCCCGCTTAAGGCCTTTGCCCACTACCGTGAGCTGCCTATCGATAACGAAAGTAATTCGATAGCTTCGAATTTGCGACCACACTGGGCCGAAAAGCATATCATATCAGATGTTCCCTATTTTTAAATTGATAAGGACAGGGGAGCATTAGTTCGAAATAAATTTATATCGTAATAAACAATCAATAGGTAAATCATTTCATTTGACTGTATTGCCAATTAAATAGATTTTTCTATGATGCTCTTTTACAGAAATAAATTTATTTAGCTTATCTCATATAAGTATCATACAACAAAAAAGTTATGTGGGATCTATTTAAGCTAGAAATGTTCTGTTTTGAAAGCGAGTTTTTATTTCCTACAGGTATTTTTAAAATATGATAGTCTAAAGTTGTGTACTCTGGCTTGGACCTTACGAAAATATTCTGATACTATTATTGTAAGCACAACAAGCCACAGCTGTTTTAAGAAAAATACATATTTTTGGGGTAAATATGACTGTAGGACAGCAACAATTTTCAATCCTTCCTAATAAAATCAAATAAAGTTTATTTAACTTTTAGTTACTTTTATCGATAGAAAACACGCAGTAGTGTGAAGCGGCTATTAGAAATGGAACAAAAACCATTGCTTGGGAGGGTAACTTAGCTAGCTGTGGAAGTTAGCTCCGCTAAAATGGACTAAAACTTCGCTAAATAGGACAATGCCACCGACACCTATAGGAAAAATATCGAACGAAAGCGGATCTCAATAGGTGGCGCTTGTAATGTTTTTTAAAGTTTTGGTTACTTTACATAGGTGTCGCCAGCCTTTTATTCTTTAAGGAAGTTAATGAAATATATACATTTATTGATAACCGCGATATCTGACTAAGTTTTACGACCTGGCCCAGATAGATGGTTTGTTAACTCACTACGCGAGTGCAAATGGTTAATTATGCTTTAATAAGTAGACGTACATTTATGGCCAGAAATCAACTGATTGTTGCTAATTGATAACCGATATGATAACACATTTAGTACGAATTCCCCTTACGCGACAGCTCGAATTTTCCATGACAATCACAGGGGCCTAGTATTACCAAAATTCTTTATGAATGGGGGACTTCTTTTTTGATTTCTGAGGTAGATTACAGAAAGTTAAGTCAATAATATCAAATTTTTTTTATGGTGGTGATTACAGTACGCATATATTCGTCATAAAAAATATATAATTACCGCAGTTCCGGTAAAATTATTGTTATTTAATAACTTAATTAATACCAAACCATTTTTAAATGTGTGGGTGCACCGACTTCAGGGTGATGATAAGCAATTTTAAGAACATTTGTGATTAGTTTAATGGTCAAAACTATACAAACTGCAACAACAAAATACTTGGTACCCTAAAATCACTGTAATTATAATTGTAATGTTGGTATATTCATACAAAAAAGTTTTATAGTTAGTTTTTTTTTAATATTTTGTTATATTTATAATGGAGGTAGATAGGTTTTCTTCAAGAAAAATGCACAATATTTTTGTTTTGTCAATTTTGTTATTTGTTTTCTTTGTTGCGATTTTTTATAAAGATTTCTTCTGGGGTACAAAAAAAGAATTCAAAAAAAAAAGGAAGGAAGGCTTAGGAACCCGCTTAGATCCTCACCAGAACCTCGTAGTTCTCCAGACGCACCTCCTCGCCGCCGAACGGGATGTAGATGCAGCCGTGCGAGGGATGGATCTTGCCCACACTCAGGCTGTCGCAGTAGATGGCCCGGCCGACGTACAGGGGTTCCCCGTCCACATTCGGACCGGAGGAGAGGGCTCCGGGAGCCACGTTGCCATGCGAGGCGGGTACCCATCGAAAGCCGGATCCGGTCAGCACTTGGACATCGGTGAGCTCGTGCTCTGCCTGGGCGTAGGCGACATAGGCCTTGCCCTTCGCGGGTACCACCTTGGCGGGCAGTAGATCTCCATTCCGGAAGACCCTGCCCACATAGATGGTATCCCCATTCGAATCGTTACCCGCAACCAGGGCGCCATCCGGAATATCCGTAGCTGTGGTGTCAACCCAGCGCTCCGGCTGGCTGAGCACCTCGTAGCCGAAGATCTTAACCTCATCGGTATCGTAGGGAATGTACAGGCAGCCGTGGGAGGGATGCACCTTGCCCATGGTCAAGCTGCCGGCATGGTAGCCCCTGCCCGCATACAAGTACTCCCCATCCACATTGCGTCCCACCTTCACGGCGCTGGGCGGCACCTCACCATTCTCCGCCGGCAGCCACTCGTAATTATAGCCGGAGAGGACCTCGTAGTTCTCCAGCTCGTGCTCCTCCCGGGCGTAGGCCACGTAGGCCTTGCCCTTATTGGGAATCACCTTCGCAGGGAGCATGTCGTTGTGGAAGAAGGCTCGTCCCACGTAGATGGTGTCCCCATCCGAATCATGGCCAGCCACCACGGCGTTTGACGGCACGCTGCCATGGCTAAAGTGCATCCATTTGTGATCTGTGGATTGTATAAAAACCATTGTTACTTATCAGCCATTTCCAATTTGTAACCCAAGCAGGGAAACTTTCAGGGATAAAGACAGAAAAAATTTAAATTGTTTGGAAATACGAATATATAAAGATTGGGGAAGAATTGCACCCATCTGGGGTCTTCAAAATTTCAAAGATATAAGAAATATTGCAAAACTTATTTTATTAATTTTGGAGTTTTTTCAGCGAAGGACAAGCTCTTTTTGTGGTAAAAACAAAATATACTGACCTAAACTTTACCAAAAACAATTCAGAATTTAAATAAGTTGTAATTGTTAAAATACAGCTTCAATAATTTAAAATGTGTTTCCCGCAAAATTACATTATGCCATCCTATATAAAAAGTTTTTACATTCAAAATAAATAAACATAATAGATCATTAAAAACATTAAGCAAAAAGTATTCCAAAAATAGTGTATATCTTTTCATTTTAATGGTATGCCAATAAACTGAAAGTATTTTTTACTTTATTTTAATGAAATACATTCCGAATAATTTAGAAGAATATTACACGACACAATCTATTATTTTCAAATAAACTAATATAATTACACCTTATAATATTACAAAGACCTTAGATAAGTTGACTGATATTATTATTTTTCCGCTTGGTCAAATGGTTTCTTGTTATGGCATCTTTGCCCTCGACTTGATTACCTGTCATTTTCTTGTCCGTTCTGCAGCAGCTCCGGCTTTCAACTGAGAAGGTGGTCGATTTAATGGCCTTTCCATGTTTCCGGCGATGTTGGTGATAGGGCTTATCGGGAACACACATGCCCCGATAAGGGACCGAACCTTTGATGACTCAGATCTTGTAAAGCACTGGCTACAGTTCTTAACGAATGGCCAATTCGACGAAAATTGGGCTTTACAGCGGCAGAAAGGGAAGTTAAAGGGTTAATTACAGTGCGAACTGGTTATAAAAATACAGGAAGTGGTGGTAAATCGCTAGTGCCAAAGACAACTGCGGCTGAAATAATAGTATCGGGGCTTAAAAATACATATTTTTAAATAAGTACATAACTCAAAAATAGCTTTCTTTTATAAGATTGCATAAAAACTTCTATAGAAATGATTTATTTTTAATTATTAACACAATTTGACCTTATATAACCTACTTATTTAAACCTATTTATATAGTTTATATAACATTTATACAATATTATATAATGAATTTCCTTTTCCTGGCCAGTTTTTTTTCTATTTGGTTCGCCACCTTTCGAGTTCTTTCGAGTTTTGTACACCCCCATATCTCCATTTATCCACCCAGTATTCCCCATTCGCACAATCGCAGGGAATCGCTTGATCCTTTATTTATTTCCCACATGGACCTTCTTGCATCCGCTTTTCCGCATTTCCACTCGTCCACGCACTCCACTTATTTAGTGGTCGCTGGCTTTGCATTTCGTTTTCCTTTTGTTTTCCCAGCATTGTTGCCTTTCAATGATTTTTCTTGTTTTCTTGTTTTCCCTTTCAAGTGGATCTCAGTTTTTGTTTGCTTTTTCGCCCATTTACAACTATTTGAACGAGGGAAAAAGTGGAAAGCTGGGCGAAAAAGTTAAGGGGGGTCGCAGAAATTGCTCTGCAAGTTTTGCACCTGTTTACAGTGGCTTGCGAATTCCAAAAGGGGAAGAGGGGGGGGATTATTAAGCTTTGAGTGGGTACCTCGAATCCCCGGTTTTCCCGCGACCCTCGTTCGGTTTTCCCCTCCCTTCAAGCAAACCAATTAACCTTAGAGAAGTCAAACTAGGATTAATTTCAGGTGAATAAACAAAGTTTCAGAAATTCGCTAAAATGTTGCAGTTTAATGTTGAATCATCTCTTGGGATTTTGGTATTTGTTGTAAAAGGTGGATGACCAATACATTCTATTCTAGAGATACATTGTTCTAGACTATAAGAGTAGTGTACATTTCTAAGTGAAGGATTGTCAGTTTGTCAAACTGGTAATGACGGTAATGTTTTTATTCAAAGTAGTCTAATGCATTTGTCACGCTCTACCTTTTTGCATTACTCGTTGCCTTTTCCCTAGGTTTTTATCCCATTTTTACCTCTTTATTTCCCCCCCCCCCCCATTTCTCTGTTTAACCAACTTAATTTTGCCTAATACATTTTAATCATTTCCACAGTGCCTCGAACTAAATTCCCTCTTTCATTAACCCCTTGCTGCCCCAGCCCATCTATCTGTCACGCTTTCCGCTCTCGATTCGCATCCGTTCTCCATGGGTCCTTTGCTGTCCGCTTTGCTGGTCCCTACTACACTTGGAAAAAATGTGCTTTACATTATTATTAGCGAATATGTGTGTGTATCAGCAATATCAAATTTTAGCAAATTGAAGTTTTGTTTTTTTATTTCGTAGACAATTTGTTAGAAGAACATAAGGTTATCAGTTACATCAATTTTTTTATATTATTGTTTTTTTATTTGCTGGAATATTTTTTGGAAGAACATAAAGGTATCAGTTACATGAATTATGTAATACTATTGTTGTGCTGTTTAGTGGATTTTTTATTAGTTAATGCACTAGCGATTTTAAAATGTACTATTTTGAATTAAGCAATTGCATTTAAATTTTCAAGCTTAATTGTTTAATTGGGTGCTGTCTATTGTAGGTGTGTCGGCAGAGGTCCGTCAGAAAATAAAATAGGTACCATATCCTTAAATTTTTCCCAATAGCGCAGTTTCTTCTTTTTATTGTTCAAACTTCTGGAATTTAAAATGTATAATTATTGTGAGTAACTTAATAAAGAAACTATAATTTACTTAAATTTTTTTTTAAGCCCCTGTGTGTCCTATTTTTTCCAGTGCCTTTTCCATTGCTGGGCCCAGTTGCAGTCGCGGTTTCGCTTTTTGGCCACACAATGCGGCAGTTTTTCGAGGGTAGCCAGGGGCGGCGGACGGAAGGGGCTTGGGGCTAGGTGCACCATGGTTTAGGGGGCATGACCGGGGGTCAGTCGCACACATATTCGCACTGTCTAGTCGTCGCCGGTCACTCACGTTGGTCTGCGGTTGCGACGAGTCTGGCTTTGGGCTTAGATTCCTCAGCTCCTCTGCCATATCAGCTAATGGATACAGTCCTCCACATGACCCCGAGGAACCCCTTTTAAACCCACCGAAGACCCCCTTTTGAGCCCCGCCCACGAAAAAGTAGAAACATCAACAAACCAAAACCAACCAAAATGTAGAGCATTCAGTGGACTTAATGGTGCGTTTTCCAGCACTTTAAGATGGTTCAGCTTTAAAATGTGGACAGGGGCGTAGTTGAAAGAGGGGCGGACCTAATGGCAGTCATCTGGTAATACGTAATTAGGGGCGGGGTTTCAGCTGCAGCCACAGCTTAAAGTCTCATCAACGAGTCCGGCAATTTCAATTGTTGCCCAGGACTTTTTGCAATTGGCATAACCAATGAGGCAGTGGTTTAAGGGGGGCAAAAGCGGGATAAAAAGGGTTTTAAAGAGCGGGTTAGAAGGGGGGGCGGCACTATCAAGGGGATCCGGAAATGCTGCGGAGTCACTAAACTGCAGCGTGTGTATCCTGGGCCCATTTATGATTTGTGAAAAAGTTTCGTGGGCACCGATGAATGCGGTTTCATTACCATTTCCACACTCAGGAGCAACTTTCGTCTGCCAGCGGGTTGAATTAGTTGCAGGAAGTGGTAAGCACGGGACCACCGTAAATTGGAGTGCCTAAATCGAAAATCGGGTAATTTCGTGATTTAAAAGCCTGTTTAATGTGTCTGATATTCAAGTTGCATTGCTATTTATGCCAAAAAATGTTCGATTTCTTTAAACGGAGACATGGGTGAACCCCCTTAATAAGAATTCGCAGGAAAGTATGCAATATAAATTTGTTTTGGCCAAAACTGTATTTAATTTTTTATACGCCAAATGAAATGAATCAATTTTTGATAAATAAATTAGTTCCTATTCAAATAATTTAATTTATTAAAAAAGTTCACTTTGAAAAGCAAATATAAATAGTCGGTTGATTGAGAAAAGTACGATATGTATAAGTATTTTTATTAAAATGCTATAATATTAGATTATAATAAATATAAATATAGATATAACATAAAAAGTATTCCAATTTTATATTAATATTTTAAACAAGTCTCTGATATTAAACAAACACATCTATTGACGAAATAAAATTTCGTGACGATTGCACATTCGGCATATAAAAGTTGTGGTACCAAATTTTGTAACGAAAAAGATTTTACATTTGACTAAATAAATACATTTGCTAAAATTTTTTTATTCGGCACTTTGTAAAGTGAAATGGCTGTGTAGACTTTTATTTATTTATTATTTATTTAATTGCTCAATTTAATTTTATGAGGCTAGGTATTATAACCAAAAATATGTAGAAATTCACATTTTTGAAATATTTGGTGTTCATATGTATCAATAAGTTGCATTTTAATATTTTAGAGTACTTTGTAATCAAAAAACCTTGCTCAGGAAATACGAATCCATTGGTTAACCACTACGCACAGCAGTATAAACCATTTTACTGCTCTTGAGAACTATAACTGTTGTACTGACTAATCGCTGCTTGAAAGGATAAGGATCAAAATGCTGCTGCCTTTTTGGAGGATCCACCAATCTGGGCACAAAAGGGAACTTTTAATTATACACCGCCCCGCTGGCCTCCATTCACAGGACTCCGCTTTTCCGGACATATCCTGGCAGTTTCCATTTCCCGGCTCATTGCGAAACTTCTCAGTTCAACTTCAAATGCAAGTGGGGAAAAGTGGAGTGCCGAAGACCGAAGGAGGGGAAAACCGGGATGGAACATAGCATTTTATAGCTTGATTTCCATTTACCCATTGAGTTCTTTGTTTCCTTACTGCCCTCTCTTGGCTTTTCCATGATTTTCCATGGCTAAGACTCAACTGGTGGTGGTGTACAGAAATAAACAAGACTAAAAAATTATACCTCTTTGGCCAGAAATTTAAAAATATTAAGACTTTTAGTTAAAATTACATAAGGATTAAGGATACATTTTTTATATACATATATTTTAAATTAAATTTTCCAAATTGATTTATTTTTTTGTGAGCTTGCAAAACATATTGCCTGCAATTAGCAGAACTCCTTTATTGAAGAGTTTTCCTCCAGCTCCTTGTTAACCCCTTAACAACATCTATGGCAATAAAAGCCAAGTTTATTGCCGCACTCCCATGAATATTTGTCTTGGCAGCTCAACTTCTTGTCCCAAAGGAGCAATCGCCGGAAATGTGTTTCATTGTTGTTTATTTCTTTCGCAGCTATTTTGTACGAGTAGTTGTAGTAGATCAAAAAAAAAGTTTACAAATAAGAAAGGGATTAATACATTTTATGGGAAAGTTTAGGGACTGGGTTCGAATTGGGTTCGCTTAACATATGTGGCCATATTGAGTGTTTTTTTGATGATTTGACACCCTTATCAATTTCTTTGTTGCATTGGAAATAGTTTTATAAATGTTATAAATCGTATTATATGTAAAAATATTAGCTAGAAACTATTTTCATATATTTTTAAATATATTCAGATACTTGGGAAATTTTGTATATATTTTTAAACAATATATGGCCAGTTAAAAGTGTAAAAAAATAGTAATATCCCAAAATTAACCAACCCAATTTCTTTTTTGCATTGGAAATAGTTTTATAAATATTATAAATGGTATTATATGTAACGAACTAAAATGTTTTAAAATATTATTTAATATAATCAGATATTGAGTGAATTTTTTTATATATTTAAAAAAAATATGGCCAATAAAATATGTAAAAAAAAAATATTAAAATAATATCCCAGAATTAATCAATCCATTTTTAAAGCTGACCACTCAGCTCGTCATCGAAATCGGAGGTGGGTGGCGTGTCCTTGACATCCGCCCGCACGGTGTACTCCTTCTCGTTGACGCTATAGTAGATGTTAAAGTATCTGCCCGACTGGATCCTCATGGCCAGGTAGCCAGTCTGTCCAAGATCCTTGGCGGTGCGCTGGTAGATCACATGACCGCTGCTCAGGATCACCCGCATCTCCTGCGAGCCATCGTCGTTCTTCCGGGCATTTTGCCGCAGGATCTGCACCAGCTGGGATCTCAACGGATTGCCAACGGGTTTCAGTCCGGGCAATTGAATCAGTGGCTCACAGCGGCAACTCAGTTTCTGGGTGAGCGGACAGCTGGTCTGCGGATTGGGTGACGAGCCACCGATTTGTCCCGGTGACACAGGAGCCACTGGAGGAGCCACGGCACCCAAACCCAGATTGCCCAGATTGAGGCCACCGAGGGTGCCGAAACCGCCGTTCAGCCCGCCCAATCCCAGGCCGCTGATCAGACTGGGCAGTCCACCGACCCAGGTGCCGATTATGGGCAGATTCTGGCCAAATCCGGGCAGCCAGCCGGACTGCGGCTGCTGACTCTGTGCGTTCGAGTTGGACGCCACGGGCGTCACCACGGTGATGGGCTGCAGGGGTTGCAGTTGCTGCAGGGGCGGCAGGGGCTGCAGCGGGGGGTTCACATTCACCCCGTCGAAGAAAATGGGGTAGCTGCCACTGGAGCCAGCCAGGCTGGTCTGCCCGCCATTGGCGGTCTGCAAAATGGTTATTCAATTTAATAAAAAAATTTAAAAATATCTTATTATATACGTTCATTGATATAAAAAAGGTAGTAATCCAAGTATTTCATATTTAAAAATAATTTTTTTTTTGTTTTTCATCCACTGCGGGTTTTATTTAAAATATGAAAATATTTAATTAAGCAATTATATAACAATTTTAAAATTTGAATTTAATATGAAATTATTGTTTTTAATGACGTAAAATATTTTAAGTAAAAAAACAAATATCAAAACAAATATTTTCCATCTTGATCTAAATATTTTAAAATTAAATTACGTCATTTGTTATGTTTTGTATTCAACATACTGATTTTGTATTTATTTTAAACATTTAAAACGAAATTTTGAATTAAATACGCAGATATTTATTTTTAATATTCCATATTCTTATCAGATTTTGAATTTAGAATGAATTTAACATACTATACACAAAACGTAATTACCGAAATTGTATTTGATTTGCAGAACTATAGTAATATATATTCGTATTATCATTTATAAAGAAAATATATTTAAAAAATTCGAGTATTTTGTTATATATAATTAATAACTTGTTTCTTCAACTATGAAACTCCAAAAAATTATAAAAAATATAGAATGGAATAGGGACTTACCAATTGGCGTTTGTCACGGCGATCCAAGGACTTCATGGGATTATCAACCATGGCTTTTTCAGTGGTAGTAGCAATGGGTTCCCTGGTGGTTGCCATTGAGGTGGTTAAAGCCAGTCCAACGGCAATAACAGCCATAAAGATGATCAAACTCAGTTTGTTGGCCATGTTTTCTATAATTTTTTTTTAATTTTTCAAACTACGTTTTTCTGGTTATATTTATTTGAAGACTCTTCCACTTTCTTGAAGGTTGTTCTTTTTCAGACTTGGCTTTGATTCGCTTTGATGTTGTGACCAGATCCCCCATTCCTTATATATGATTTTTGGGCACTCATATTCTGCAATTTTATGTTATTAAGGAGTGCAGTAAATGAAACCAGCTTTGCCAAGAATCAAAATGTTTTTTAACAAAGACTTAATTGACAAAAAAACTGGATTTGCTCACATCAAAACTGGGTCAGCATTTAATAACGCCAATATACTTATTTATATACTCCTGCCAAATTACAGCGTTTCCGCTTGAACGTTTAAGGGACTTAAGAACCATATTAATTTAGATATACAACCGAAGATAGACATGCAATTATTGACTAACATTTAATACCTATATCTAAAGGTTTGCAGGTGTCTATTAATTTTCCAAAGTTGTGAAATTAATTATCAAAGCAAATAGAAGCAATCAATGGTTTACTTATACCAGAGTCATCTCGCCTTTTGTTTCCCAATTTTACCGAAATTAATTCCTCACACAATGCACATTATTAAGATTTTCGGCAGGAAGCTTTTGATGCAAGGCTGGTTTGAAGGTGTCATTATTTATTAAATGACACGCCTTAGGGATTCCCTCTAGAAATAATGGCACTTGTTAAATTAAATGAACATAAAAATAGAATTAATGTAGATTTTATAATTTAGGTGCATTTCTTACATGACTAAAATATACAAATTCGCTATGGCTTATAAGGAAAATGTATATATAAAAATTTAGGAGGTACACGTCTTTACAAATTGCCTATGGCTTGCCATGTCCAGCGGCCAAAATCAAATCAAATTAAATTTGTGTCAAAAAGTAGGGAAAAAAGGAAAAAGAAAAATGTTTCGTTTGCATGAAAATTTCTGTGCAAGATTTTCAATTTTCCTGAAGGGAAGAAAAGGAAAATAAGAAAGAACTAGAGTGAAATAAACAAGTTGTTGACAGTAGCTTGCTGTTGCGAACTCATAAATCAAAACGTTTTTGACAAATTGCACATTAAAGACGTCATTGGCTTAATTTATTAAAAATTAAAGTAAATTATAAAGCAGGCTGGCCTTGAAATTGTTCTGAATTCGGATCAGCACATATAAGACAGAAACAAGCTACCAAAATGATTCAAATTTAACCGGTTTGCCGGCAAGCAAGATTAAAAAATAATACTTTAAACCTGAAAATATCTTTTATGACACATAGAATAAGACGACGAAAAATCACCAGCAGATGAGCGAAGAAAGTCGGAAAAAATAGCAAGAAATCCAAGTCATCAGCAGCAGATGCACCAGCCATGGAAAATCTCATTATAAATGACACTGTGTAAATTACAAAAACGGAAGTGTAGAAAACAACCAAGGATATAGAAGCACAAGCCCATGAGACTACGTACATTTAATATGTATAAAAAATATAACAAATATTCCAAATAAAAACATGTTCAGTAAATAAACCAATGAACTTCGATCACCCCTTGAACAAACAATCTCCGAAACAAATACCCATTAGCACATTTACGAGCTCGCACACATTACCGGCGATTATAAAGATTTTAACAATCCTGCACCCGAACTCCTCGCCCCTTCCATTCAAATATTCATTAACCGATTTTCATCATCTTTCCGTATTACCTGATTATTATGATGCACTTTAACCCTTGTGGGCTGGGGGAGGTTATAAAATTACACAGCATTTTAGGTAATTCGAAAGGCAAGAGGGGTTGTTCTTAGGCTAGGAAGTGTTACTTAATTGATGTTTTTAAATTGCTTACATTCATAGCAATTTTTCTTATGTTTAGTTAAAATGGTTGCTGAATAGTAAACAGTTTTTAATCATGCATTCTCGAAAATGATAGAAGGAAACAGTGCGTATGAGTAATGTCTACCATAAAACGTTTTTGGCTTATAATTTTTTAAAATATATATAATAAAATAGACTAAATTGCTATTTAATAATTTATAGCTCTTGACTAATTACCCACTCAGTTAGTTTAAATAAAATACAATATTTATTTAAGGGCATCGCCAAGGGTTAAGCCCCCTCTCGACTGTTTATTATTGGCCCTGCTCCAAAGTTGGCCGCTCAAAGCCGGCTTATTTGCCATTCTGGCGCATAACGGTATTGTAACCATATATACATATATATATATTCCTGATGTCTAAAGTGCAGCTGACGATGATTCAGTTTGATTCGACTTGAATTCAGCTGCAGCGGCAGCGACAGTGCCTTTGATTCGTATAAATACAAGTCCGGGCCTTTTGGCAGCGTGCAAAAGGCAAGGAAAAGCGCCCGCAGACATGTCATCAAACAGAATCCGGCCGGAGTTGGTCCTGCTGCTGCTGCTGGCGGCCACACTAATCCCTTTGCTGCAGGCGGGGATAGTTGGGGGATTGGGGGAGAGGGATCCGGATTCCACCACCCTGGATCCAAGCCCCTATGCGGAACAGCAGCAGCTCGAATCGCAGACGGAGATGGAGATGGAGCCCTCCGTTCAAGTGGATGGCCGACGCATCGACTGCAAATTGACTTTCGATGCGGCGACAATGGACTCGTTAGGCTGCCACAATCAGGGGGCGTTGCCCGAGGGGAGGGCGTGGCCGGGGTCCGGGTCCGGTAATAAGCCGGAGCTGGAGAAGCCGGTGGAAAATCCAGACTGGCAGCGCCACTTGAAGTCCCCGGACAGCCAGCCCATCTATGAATTACAATTGGTTGTTTGGCCCAGTGACATCGAGGATGGTGATGACTTTAGTCCACCGCTGGCCACCACCACCGCAAGGACAACAACAACAGCAAGGACAACAAGGAGATCAACAACAACAAGAACACCTAGCACCACCCCAAGGACCACACCAAGGAGCAGCACCACCACCCAGAAGCCCACCCAAATTGGGACACCTATTGAGCAAATATGGCCATTGTACGAGGATCAATTGGTCGTATTTCCGCAAATGGACTTTGAAGAGGAGAATCTTGATTATTTCTTCGACGAAGTGGCGCCACCTACTTCACCGCCCACTGACCGACCCACGGTGACCCCTAGCCATCCCACGGGCACGCCCACACCCACACCCATCTATGTTGTGCAAAACTATCACGTCATTCACCCCAACGGCACCGAGGAATACAAGTGAGTTTGCCCAGATTAATAATTCAAATATAGGTAAGAGTGATTAAAACGCCATTCCATCTTTGGGTCAATCCTTCCACTAAAGCTTTGGGGATCTACCTAACAAACAAATCAATTTTATAAAATAATATTTCAGGTACATCTGGTGCCTTATTCTTTTAAAAATACTTTCTTCGTATTTGTTAAAAAATTATTTACAATACGTTGTTCAATACAATATTGCGGATAAAAACTGAAACTTCTTAAAGGATTTGAACTGTAGTCTCTGTAATCAAATAGAAAAGACGTAAAATTATTAAAGAAATGGTTGTCAATGAACCAAGTTTTCGGTTTTTAGGCACTTCTAAAAAATGTTACGTATACCCGAAACAGTAGAAAAAATCTAAAATAGGTCAACACTTAACGATTTTCAAGGTATTAATCAAAGGTCTGTTTTTTGCAGATTATAGTAATATTGAAATAGTAGTAGTTGAAATAGTAGTTGCAGTAATATTGATATGATATCCTTGGTCACCAAGTGGTAGCCCCTGTCTAAGACAAAACATCTAAAATAGGTCAGCAGGTTACGGTTTTCAAGATAAAAAAGGTCTAGTGTTTTTTTTTGCAGATTGCAGCTATATTATTTAGCATGACTAACAAACGTTATTCAAACAAAACATGAAAACTCATAGAAAAATGATGAAATGAGTGCGCCAGTCCTTCGATAAGACGGTCACCAAGTGGTAGAGGAGGGACCAGTGGAGGATCTGTTCCATGGCCAGGCAAAAGATGGCACAATAGGAGACGAAGCCGAAGACCAAGTTGTGCCAGTGGTCATCGTTCGAAATGTAAGAGATGGCCCTGAGCTGGATCTTATAGGCAAAAGCGAACTTCGAGCAGCAAACATAAGCCCAGGGGGCCACCGCCGCCAAGTAAGTCATCTTCGCAAATGCCGAGCGCCAGCGGGCGCGGATCGCCAAATAGGGCGACATGGCCAGGGCGGTCAGCCCCAGGGCCACCAAAGCGGTGTGCAGTACTTCATGGTATATGAAGGTCGCCCTGGCTCCCTCCTCGTAGCCCAGTTCCCACTTTACCTCGACCAGGGGAGTCGCCGTGATCGCCGTGAGCACCACCGTGGAGTAGAGCAGTTGTTTCAACATCATGCCCACCATTTTGTCGAAGCTGTTCCAAGAACTAGGTTTAAAATTGGGAAAAATAGGGAATTAATCAGAGAACCACACACGTTGAAGGAATTTTGTATTGACTCGTTTCGGTATAGAGAGGTTGTGAAATATGTTATATGGCCTACTTTGATGTAAAGTCGCGATAGAAAAAAGGAATCTGAAAGCGTATGTGCCTGGGCTGTGTTTTTCAGGGCAGATCTATTATTTTTAAGTATTTTATTCTTCCACGAAATTACTTAATAATTGATGCCTTTAATGGTAGAAACTTTGTACGCGTAAGTTTATTCGACATTTGAATACTAACTTTACTCAGTTCTAATACAAATTTTCAAGAACAAGGAAAACCTAAATGGAGTACATCAAAAATGAACAAAGACCTTGGGTAAATGGCGTAAAACAGAGTAATAATCAGAGAACAACGCACGTCGACGGAATTTAGTTACTCGTTTCGGGTTGAAGTTGGTTTGAAATATTTTATATAGAAAAATATTTTAAGTCTTTAAAGGTAGAAACTTTGTATACGTATTACATTTGAATACTCACTACTCAATTCCAGTAAAAACTTTCAAAAACAAGGAAAACCTTGGGTAAACACCGTAAAATAGAGCAAAAATCAGAGAACAACACACGACGACGGAATTTAGATTGTGATTCGATTCGGGTTGGAGTTGTTATGAATTATGATATATAGCCTACTTTGATGTTACATTACGATAGAAAAAATATTTTAAGTCTTTAAAGGTAGAAACTTTGTATACGTATTACATTTGAATACTCACTACTCAATTCCAGTAAAAATTTTCAACAAGAAAAACCTTTGGTAAACACCGTAAAATAGAGTAATAATCAGAGAACAACACACGTCGACGGAATTTAGATTGTGATTCGATTCGGGTTGGAGTTGTTATGAAATATGATATATAGCCTACTTTGATGTTACGTTACGATAGAAAAAGAAAATTTGATGTTACGTTATGATAGAAAAAGAGAATCAATTTTTCGATTTCTCTTTCTCTTAAGCCTTTAAAGCAAAGTGCAATTTACACCTAGCGGTACCGGCGGATGATCGATGTGTGTCTGCTGACCGCTGTTTTATACTGTAGGTGTTGCGGCAGAGGTCGAGCAGACCTATTCCCTATGCCCGCTTAATTTAAACTTTGTGTGCGTATGTACATACATCATTTAAATACTCACTTTACTCAGTTCCAGTAGAAATTTTCGAAAACAGGACAAAACACAAATGAGTACACCAAAGATGTTCGAAGAACTTGGTTAAAAATCGCGAAATATGGTAATAACCACAGATCGACACACGATGTCGGAATTTAGTTAGTTATTCGTTTCGGTTTGAAGTTGGAGTGAAATACTTTATATAGCCTCCTTTGATGTAACATTCCGATAGCAAAAGTCGTCAGCAGGGCTGCCATGTCTAGCCTTTTTTATAATGCGAGTTTTTTTAATGCATTTCTTTGTAACTTTTTGAATTAAAATCTTGGTTGCTATAAGGAAATGAAGCAAATTCCTAATAATTGCCTTTTTATCCCAGATTAGTGATGAGCAACGGCCTGGTTAACTACAAGAAGCTGTACACCAAGAAATCGTGTGGCCAGGTGATAAACGTGCAGGAGGGCTATAACTCAGTGCCCATTCCCGGACCCAAAAACCAAATCCAGACGCAGTACTACATCGCCGACGAGCGGGGCTACAATGTCTATAGAAGTGAGTCTGTCCAGAGTTGCCATCAATAGTGATTGTATATTCCATTTCCCTGCCCCCAGTCGAGCTCCACAATCATCAGCCAGGGTTGCCCAAACATTTGCATTACAAAGCCACAGAAGCGACCAATATGTGAGCGAGGAAGGCCAGGATTTCCAAATGGCGGACACAGTGCCTCTCAACTTTATCAATAAACGAAAATATTTTTTTTTTATATTTATTTATACCATAAATCTCAATAAAATATAAAAAACAATTGGGGTACTATTTTGAACTGTATGCATATTTTAAATATATATTTGTAATGATTTTCTCCAGTTTTTAGATTACATTAAAATTGAGAAAGCCTTAAGGGGGGTACTTAATATTATATATCATTTGGAAAAATTATAAAAAATATTTTTTTGAATGGTGATAGCACTATAAAATTATCCTTTATTGAATTTAGTCCTGGCATATTTATTTTGACCCAATGTTCTCTTTGTGGCAAACGAATGGCGAAATAAAATGTAATGCCCACAAAATGATTTGCTGTATTTTTTTGTTTGTTTGTCGCTCTTGGTGTTATGTATCTTTTTTTTTTGCTGTTTTTGCGATTGCTGACAGGTCTGATCTGTCTATATGTATTTTGTTTTTCCACTATTTTTATTTCACCAGATTCTGCAAACATTGAATGTTGTTGTTTTGCCTGATTCCTATTATATTTGCTGTTGCTTTCTCAATCGCAGTGTTGCTGATTGCCATCTTTGGTTGATGTTGCTGCTGTTCATACTGCTGCTGCACTGGAAAAAAATATTGAAAATATTTAAAATATAATTCTTTCTCTTTGCTTTGATTTCCTAAATGCATTTTAGGTGGAAAGAAATTATACAAAAATAATATCTTTGTATATACCTCAAGAAACATAAAAACCATTATCATTGAAAGCAAATATAAGTTTTAATAATAAATATTTAGAAATATATAAAAACTATATATTAGAATTTGAATTATAATATATTATAATAGATAATAGTATATTTTATTAATTGAAAAGAACTTTATCATTGTCAGCTAAATATAGTTTATAATACTAAATAATTAAAGATATAGAAGTAAAGTATATATTATAATATCAATTATGGATCTTAACATTTTATAAAATCCATTTTGAATTCACATTATTACTTTATTTTCATTAATCCATTTATTGATCCCTAAACCCATTTGGATTTTTCTGGGTGCTTGTTGTTTTCTCACTCGAAAACCCCTGGGCAGTTGTGGGTTAAGGGCAGGGGTAAGGATGATGCTGATGATGCCATTTAGATGCATATCAAAGTATTTCACTTTTGCCCAATCCTTTCGGCATTTTTGCATATGTATGTATTTATTTATTTATTTATTTATTTATTTAGTATTCGCCTTGTGCTTCTGCTGCTGCTGCTAGCAATGACTTTGTTGTTTCTTTCAATTGTAGTTTATGGCTTTTCTTTCCCTCGAATTTCCTCGCCCTATAAACCCTCGAGTTTTCCCTGTTTGTTGTTTATGCCGCAAAGTTTTCTGGGTCCTTGGGCGTCAGCCTGTTGGCAGCTGTGCAAAGTTTTTTGGGTCTTGGCTTATGATTATTTAAATTCATGTTCGACCTCACTTTATAGGCCTGCCCCATATAAATCCAATGATTTTCACTAAAGATGTGTTTAAAAATCGTTGGGGGTTTTCCCGTGTCTCCAAGGGCTGGCAATTAAATCGAACATGAATTTTCCATTCCCATCATCTGTAAATGTCTCGCCTCATTTTCTGTAAATTAAGAAACTATTTTTGCTAAGGGTGTTAAGAGGGTTGCGGAAGTCCTTCCGCACCTTTTCTATTTTTAACCCTTTTATGGACACTATGGTCCAATTAAAACTATTATGTTTTCTGTTATATAATACCTTTTTAATAACACCTTCATGATTGTTCATGATAATGGACAACATTAATACTGAAACATGTACATAAGTTATTTTGCTAAAAAATTAAACAAAAGTTTTATTTATTTTATTAAAAATTAAATTTAAAAAAATAGTTAAGGAAACTAAGTCTTACAATAGTTCACAATATACTTTAAGCTTCAAAGATTTTCAAAATAAAATCTTGTGCTTGGCATTTCCACTGTTTATGTATTTTATTGACGGTGGCCCAGAAAAGCCCTGCAAATAAAGAGACAGCCATTAAACGTGGCCAGAAAGGGGTTAAATGTCCCGAGGCTGTCCCCTTCCGCTTCTTCTTCTTCTTCTCGTAGAGCTGTACCTTGTTTCGGTTGGGGTTTATTTTTCAGTTCCCAGCTCGTATATCCGTTCCGTGTCGTCTTGGCCGTACGTCGTTCGTTTTACGGCCTTTGTAATTATCACTTTAATGAACTTTGCTAGTTTGATAGCGAACCTCGCCAAAAGGTAGCGCCGCGCAATGGGGCCAATGAGCGAGATAGCTATCCCCGGGGAGAAAGAGATGGCCGTACGGCTCAGTGAAAGAGAGGGGGCGATTGCAAGGACGGTACGTGCAGGAACGGCTTTCTCCTTCCAGCGCATTGTGTGCCTTTGGTTTTTATTAAGGAATAAAATTAGTGAGCGCGTGCCGGGAACGCCAAAAATGCCAGTTGCAGCCCGTCCCCTGCCCCACCGCGTACTTTCTCCCCCCGCTTTCACTCGCCTCCTTCCGGGCAAAAGGAAACGGAAGCAGCGGCGAAAGTCTCAGGAGCACGGAAAGAAAGCAGTTTAAATGGGCGTTTTATTAACTAACTAATGTTTTGTTAATTATTAAGACAGAAAACATGACAAAATATGACATGACATTTTATAAAAATAAAGGTGTATCTTAAGAACTATTTTCTTTTATCATATTTTAAAGCTATAATATAGTTTTAATAGCTTTTGTAAGTATATATTATATTTTAAAATATGTATCTTAATGTTTTATAAAATCCATTTTAAATTTACATATTATTTTGGTTCATCCATGTTTTGATCCCTAAGCCCATTTGAATTTTTCTGGGTAAAAATGTTAGTTAAGACCAATTTTCTTTCATCATATTTTAAAGTTATTAAAGTGTTTTAATAACTTTTATTTTGCGCTGAATGGAAAATATCATTTTGAGACCAAAGAGGTTTATTTTGTGAGTTCATAAAGAGGCCTTTTCTTTGATTTGATGCCAAAAGAAGGGTAAAAAAATAAAGAAATATTTTTTAACTAATGAGTGATTGATTGCTTGTACATATATATTTTTTTCAGTGCATTTCAAGCAGAGTGGGTTTAAGTTGAGGCAGAAACAGTGACTGCAACAGAGGCCGAAAGTTATGCGAAGCGAATGTGCGCAAAATAATGCAAGATAAACGCGCCAATTTCCAGAGGAGCAAAAATAGCAACAACTTTTGAAGGCGGAAGAAATGGGTAACCAAGTGGGGTTAAATGAGGGAAAAGAATTGTTGAAGCAACGAAAAAAGGTATACAAAATGAAAGTTTCCGATTAAAAATGATTTAAAATGGGTCAAGTGGTAGCTATAAAATTTATTATGGGTATTGTAGTTGAATACTATTAAATTTACTAATCCAGCTTGAGTTTTTTTTGGTATAATGGTAACAAACATACAACAAATAAATTTAGTTTTGTAATTAGAAACAAAGATAAACGAAACATATTATCTAATTTATTTAAATATAATTAGTTTTACCTGTTTTTGTGCACTCCCGAGTGTTTTCACAAATTAATGCAAGGAATAATTAACGGGGGATTACACAAGGATCACGTTTAAATCAGCCGAACGCAACTTTACATCATGCCAGCCGAAATAAAACCCCAAAAGTGTGAATGTGCGAAATGGAAAAGCCCCGGAAAAGCGGTCGAGCAATGAAAATGGCTGCGAAAATACAAATTGAAATGCAGCAAGTCGCCTTCCTTGTCGTGGTTTATTTTCCAGCGCCACGGCAATTAATCATAAAAGCAGATTTTAACACGAGCTGACTTTATGCCATGTATGGTGGGTATACATATAAGTTTTATATGCCCCATGCCCATACCCATGCATATATGGATGCCCCTGCCCATCAGCACCTCGAACCCATGAAATATGCAAAATATCTTGTAATGTGTTTATCAATGTGTGCGGATGGCCATGGAACATGGATCGGGCAATGTTCCGGACTCGTTGACTCAGTTCCAGACGATTCCTTTCCTGGGCCAGAGAATAAATTCATTGAATTAACAAATAGCTTCGTGTTCATTTTAAGCCAAAAAGGAACAAAGGGGGAAAATGCGAAAAAAAAGTTCGCCCTGTTAGCAGGAAAAAAGTGAGTGCATTTTATATTTTAAATGTTTTTATACGCGTGAATATGTATTATTATGCTATACGACTAACCTGGATATTCTGGTCCAGCGCAATACTCTTAGTGGATTTTCGTTAAAAATTAAAATAAATTACACAGTTGTTTTGCGGCTGGAAATTCTCTTCGTCGTTTTTTGTTTTTTGGTTTGTTTCCGGCTTTTTGTTTAACAGTTTTTTTGGCTAAAGCGAAAATAATTGACGAAACTTCATTTAATGTATGCTTAAAACTGCGTGTACGAATTGGGTTTTACCAGTACTTGAGAGTACCTCTCTTAATTAAGAGGACAAGCAGCAATTTGTGGCGATTTTTAAATATTTATGAGGGCATTTTTTTGTAAATTAAGTGGAAGGCTTTTTATCTTTAAGCGATACATGAATGGCAGTTGATTAATTAATTAGCAAATAGAGAAGTAAGAAAGATGGTAGCAATAACTATTATCTTTGTTATGTAAATGTTTGTAGAAGTACTGCCAATTTTCAATTTTGTTAAAAACATCATTAACTATAAAAATAAAAAAAATATAAAACATTAAAAAATACTAAGTGGCTAAAGATTTATCATTTTAATAGGTTATTTTGTGATATCTTTACATCTGGCTCATCGAAATGGAAAATAAATGTTTTATTTTGGTAATTGTATTTGAATATTATTTCTTTTTATTGTAAAAGATCTCGTATGAGAAAGACGCATCCGGAAATTTAAAAAGTGTGTAGCATACTTTTGAATCTATCACATATTAAGAAAAAACCTAAATAACTGACTAACCAAAAGAGTGATTACTAAGAACAAAGCTGATTTTTCTTTCCTAATGACTAATCAAATGCAGATAAATAGAATGTTTCTACAAATAAACGTATTCTTGGCCCAAAATCGGATTGG